GCGTTGAAGATGAAACAATAGACGAAATGAAATAATAAAAATTATAATGAAGTAGTATTTTACTCTCGACGATGGGGCACACGATACTGGTGCCACTGGACAAGTAACTGTTCGTTTATGTTTTATCGAGAAAAACAATTCTAGTTGTATAACTCTTTAACGAACTCGTAAATGTGCGTATATAGGATATCTCGTCTAAATTGAGGCGTTACATGTTTCACTTAAGTAACAAAATACAATGCTGAGTGAACTGTTCTGGCCCAATGATTTTATTCTAAATAAACTCGAATATTAATATAGTTTCACCCGCAGAGAAACGATTTAAAATATTTAAATACCGGATTTCTTTCCCAATATTTAGTTCAGAATTATCATTGGTTACATTGTAAGTTATCATTCCCACTATAATTGAAATCAGTTCATAAACTTCCATTATTGAAAATACATCTACGTTTTCCAAATCATAATTCGATCCTATTACACTTGCATTTTAATACTCTTACATCTATATGGAATCTATATAGAATAAGTAATTTAAGAAACTCTATTGTTCACGTATACAGGGTGTTCCGCCACCCCTGGGAAAAATTTTAATGGGAGATTCTAGAGGCCAAAATAAGACGAAAATCAAGAATATCAATTTCTCGACTAAGGCTTCGATAAAAAGTTATTAAAAAATTAAATTGAAAAATTTCAAATCATTTTGAAAAAATTATTTTTGGTTGCAGGAGCCAATTATAATCATTTTTTGGTGAATAGACATACTCCCGAAATCCTACCCATTTTCGAGAAAAAAATTCAGTACAGGCGGAACTTTAAACGTTAATAACTTTTTAACGAAGCCTCCATCAGCAAATTGGTATTCTTGATTTTCGTTCTATTTTGGCCCCTAGAATCTCCCATTAAAATTTTTCCCATGGGTGACCGAACACCCTCTATAACGCATATACTTGTACTCTTTCTATGCGTATGAAGTACACACATATGTAAATGTGAGAATGCGAGCATTTAATAATGTGTAAATGCACGACTTACAGTGGTCGTTTTAATATTAAATAGTAATGCATTCACCATAATTATGCGAAAAAATCGACAGGCACTGCATGCGTATTCATATCGCTTGTCGTAAAATTAATATGCATATCTCCTAAATTCTACATTCGCGTATAGTTACATTTTTGTCTTAAACGCACTTACGATTTATGCAGTGTCCGTCCAACGGTATACTTTTGGAGAAGCATGTACTTATTCTGTAATAACATATTTCATCGAGGATGTATCCGTGCAACAATGACTTGTACAAATGTAAAACAATACGTGTGTAACAGCAACAAACAAAAAGGATTTTGCTATAAAACAAAATAATCGACTTTATTATACATCAGTTCTGTTTTAAATTATTTCCACAGTTGATTGTTTCAAAAGAAAATTTTATTTCATTACAGTAAATGTATTACGTAAAAAAGTTTGCACTAAATATGTAGTACCAATAAATATCTTGATACTGATACTCAAGAATAATCAAACAATATGACAATTCCAATAAATTGTCGATAAATATAAGCAATTACTTTGGAAATAATGATGTAAATTGTAAGAATAAAATTATTTCTTTGAAATCCATATGAAATGTAGTACAAGTAATTGCAATGGATTTTGTACGATCGAGAAATTATCTCGTCGCTTGATTCATCTTCGAAAAAAAGTGGTGCGAAAGAAATACCACTATGATTGTATGGTGCTACTTGTTATACAGAATGTTCGGCCACCCCTGGGGAAAATTTTAATGGGGGATTCTAGAGGCCAAAATAAGACGAAAATCAAGAATACCAATTTGTTGATCGAGGCTTCGTTAAAAAGTTATTAACGTTTAAAGTTCCGCTCGAACTGAATTTTTTTCTCGAAAATGCGCAGGATTTCGAGAATATGTCTATTGACCAAAAATTATTGTAACTAACCCCCACAACCGAAAATAATTTTTCCAGAATGATTTGAAATTTTTTAATTTTGTCAAAATACTTCATACCTTCTTGAATTTTTTTCTCGAAAGTGGGTAGGATTTCGAGGGTATGTCTAATAACCAAAACTGATTATAATTGACCCCTGTAACCGAAAATAATTTTACCAGAACGATTTGAAATTTTTTTTTTTCGCCGAAAAATTTCAGTATCTAGTCGAATTTTTTTCTCGAAAGTGGGTTGGATTTCAGGGTTATGTTGTATTCACCAAAAATGATTGCAATTGAGTCCCGCAACCAAAAATAATTTTTTCAGAATGATTTGAAATTTTTTAATTTAATTTTTTAATAACTGTTTAACAAAGCCTCAGGCAAGAAATTGATACTCTTGAATTTTGTCTTATTTTGGTCTCTAGAATCTCCCATTAAAATTTTTCCCAAGGGTGGCCGAATACCCTGTATACCGCCGAATATTAAAAAAAATTAAATACGTATGGAATCAACTATTATTTCTTGCGTAGTTAATAGTAAATGATAGTAGATATAGTGCCGTTCATGAAATAAGAAACAGTATATAGATGTTGTAGATAATAGAAATAACATTCCTAATATTTTCTGATTACTATTCTTTGTAATAACATATGTTAGTAAACAACTGGATGCTTTATATGTTTTCAACAAATAGATCAGTGCATGAAAAGTTAATTATTTAAGATTTCCTATTTGATATGTATTATATCATGTTCAGTTAGGTGTAGATGTATTCGTTTTTGTACGTACGGAATTTGTAACATCGATTAATTATTTCCTTTATTTTTCAATCACAAGAATCTAAATATCTGATATCGTAAAATGCGTATATCCATTAAAAATATGATCTAATTAATGAAAATTATGTTGAATATACATTATTTGTATTGTCTAGTTATCAAAATTCTCCGTTACGAATTCCAAACTCTTTACATTGTAAACATTTTGAAATACCTCAACTCGACTGATGAGAGATACTAGATACATCGATATGTGCTTAAAAATACAGAAATAATTTTAAAACATTGAGAACATAATTTTAATTAAGACACTGTACGTATCCGTGATGGATGTTATAAAACTCGTCGAACAGCTGAGATGGAAATGACTCCTTGCATACAAAATAATAGAAACTGATTCTATTTTCAGTTCAGTTTATTTTTCAAATAATTTTGTTGTTTCTCAATGTTGATTCTGGTTTACTTTTACATCAACTTTTACATCTGTCTATCTATCTATCTATCTTAATTATAAAATTAAGTAAAATAGTCGTCATATACAACAGAAAACAAATCATAGCTTGTCAGTATTTACAAACACAAACATCAGTAAAAAAAATTACAAGTAGCAGACAGATGTTTCAGTTGATATCCTTTCAAACTAAAATTGCAAAACTTTATTTTATCAAAAAAACCTTGTACAAACAAATTTCATTTCTCATTCTTAACTTGTTCGTTTACAAAGAATCATTTCTATTGTTGTAGTTCCACGAACTACACATCATTCTGTATATGTTTACAATGAATAATGATAAAAACGCATTGATTCATTGTCACGATTTCTTATAATAACTCTTCTGTTGAAAACATTTCAAATTATTTGCATAATAATACATGTATAAATTTATAATATCTATAACTTTATATCAATATGATGTAGGCACTTGACTTCTCGAAACAGAATTTTTAAATTCAATTATATACTATTCGGATAATCAGACAAGGATAAAAACGAAGACTGCAATTTGATACAGTTGTAATTTTCAATAATTTCAATATTACCGTTAATTGGCAATTAAAAAGAATCCTGTAACTCTATATTTAATCGTATCGATAATTTGATTAGAACGTTGTAAAACAATTTCGATAAATTCCAATTCTACTTACTGGAAACTTGTTCAATGATTGTCTGAGTATATTTATGACTTTTAAAACGAGATTGTCGAGAGCTACTATACTTGAAACTCTGAGGACCATAAACTCACAATAAAGTTTCTTGTTTTCGTCACGTAAATCTTGTTCGAAGTGCAAAACATTTGAAACGCAAAGTTAAAACATGCACTTCGTTCACGATATTCGTGTATATCGTTAAAATTACTTAATTGTAAAATAATAAATGAAAAAAAAAAAAATAAAATCGATGTTGTGTCTGAATAAATGTCCATTACATCGTCTGCATGACAAAGCATAACAAATTATTTAATTATGTATTAAGAGACATGGAATTAGATTGATAAAAAAATAATGTAGTCAAGATCAATGTACCGTGTTAATTTAGATGAGTAGATAAATGTCACAAGCCTCGTAACCTGATATAATCTAAAGCAATGCGAAACTTTTTAGTTATAGTCTATTAATATATAACGTAAATATGATTATTTTGTACTAAATGTATATCGCATTGATGTATTTTTCGTAAGCGTCGTTGTTAATGACACCATCTCGAACATTATAGAAAGGAAAACGGCGCTTCATTTTGTGCATGTATTTTATCGTGGGTTATGTAAATGTAGATTTTATAATGTTGTAATAAAAAGATTTCTTTCTATGTAGCTCTATTTACTTCTACAGTATATGATTATAGGTAGTAAAATTCTTTATAGTTTGTTTATTTTGTTAATTTTTAAAAAATTTTTATAAACAATCAATAGACGTAGAGTAGCAGAAATGGTGTTATGAATTGTGTAACTGACAAATATAAATTGTCTTTTAACTGCATAAATTTTATAAGCTGTAATTTATAAAACTTCTTTCATGCAAAATCTTTATAAGCTTTTCATAAAACTATATCAGATTTTGTCGTTATATTAAATAGAAACTAAAATTTTTATTTCACTTCAATCATAAAATAAATGCCCTAATTGCTAGTATTAATCACATTCACACACCATTTTATTACATATTCAAATAATCCGCCAGCAACATACCAAACCAACTATGAACTCACAGCCGACTCTAGTATGAAGTAGTTTTTCCAGATGGCGTAGATAAATATCAAAATATTGTGATTTAAGTGGAAGCTTGGTTTACAGTTTGGAAAAATTATAATTAGTTTTGTAATATTTTATAGTGAACTTATCATTTCAACTGGACAAAGTCGTTTAAAGAAAAGAAAAGTAAAGCATTTATATAATTAACTGGTAGATAAAACTTTCATATATTAGAGGTTAGTATTGTACTTTTAAGGACCAAGCATTAGACTAGCTAGTTTTTATCTACTATTTATGAAAATATTACAAATCTGTAATTGTTATGTAATCTTCCCTTAACTTTAATTCATAGCATTCATTTCCAATTGTTAAAAATTAATAATGATACATGTTTACATTGTGTTTGTAGATATGGATCCAGAGTTTCTTTCTAGACTGATTCCACAAAACAAAGATCATGTACGTCCAGCGTGTAAGAAATGTGGATATGCTGGACACCTTACATATCAATGTCGAAATTTTATCAAAGTCGACCCAAACAAAGAAATTGTTTTAGACGTTAGTAGTACAAGTTCTGACAGCGATGAAAATTATGTAACTCCTCTAACTGAATTACGCGAAAAGGAATTAAAAAAGAAGCAAAAGGAAGCTAAGAAGAAACACAAGTATAAAAAGAGCAAAAAAAAATCTAAGAAGCATGAAAAGTCAGATACAAGCGACAGTGATTTTGAAACAGAAGTTTCCAGCGGAGAGGACAAAAAACATAAACACAAGAAAAGGAAGAAGAAGTCCAAACATAAAAAACACAAGAAGCACAAGAAGGATGATACATCAGATAGCGATTCTGATAAGACAAAATAGTTTCTTCTTCTTCATAAGCCAATATTATAAGTACTGTAACTTCTAATTGAAATTGTAAATACTGACTGCGTGTGACTCATATAATGTATATAAATAAATTTATATCATTTATAAAACTGTATAAAACTAAATTTACGTGTAATACACAAATTAAGTGTCATTTCTACAAAAATAAGGAACATAATTTTTAATTCATTTTTCATATATTCAAAATATTTTCTTATCAAATATAATTTTCGGTAATTTTTAAATAAATAACAAATGAACGTAGTTTTACAGAATTTCATTGGGCTATCACATATTCTATATGAATTTTTATTTTACCAGTAACTTTCGGTCTAAATCAAATATGCGCATGATATAAATATTTGAGATTCTTCAATAATGCTTTAGGAACATTTTTTAAGACCTAAAATCATAATGAAATGTAAACAAAATCGATTATTTTGAAACTTTAACCAGAACCTCATTTAAAGCATGAATTGGATGGCGTTAGTAAATACTGCGCAGCCGCAATAGCAAATGAGCTGCCAACGTACTTATAGGTTAGAATGAGATAAATCAGTAAACAAAGAATGACGCGACATGCAAGAAATTGCACAGCTGGAGCTGTTTATACGTATCATGAGAAAAAGAAAGATGCAGCAGCCTCAGGTTACGGAACAAATACACAAAGAGTGGGAAAAGATTCTGTCAAGAATTTTGACTGTTGCTGCCTAACATTACAGCCTTGTAGAAATCCTGTCATAACGTTTGTATATTTTATTGTACATTTTATTCATCGTTCTTACTATATATCACTAGTCATATACAGTCAGTCAAAAGAGTCTCCATACACTGCTCTAAAATTTATTGAACGTTTTATATTAGCCAAAAAGGAGGTCAGAAATAAATAATTTTTACGTTATTTTTACGGTATATTTTTAGAAAGAATGGCTATTTATTTGATAAAGAAGCAATTTTGGAATATGTATTAACCAAGAAGAGAGAGTATACTAGAAAGTTAAAGGAATATGAAAAACAAAAACATCAACAAGAGGTAACCATAAAAAACAATTTCAATATTTATATGTTTCATTTATAATGGAACGTTATTGTATAAAAAAATTGTTCAGGAACAATTTCATGAAAAAACTGCTAACGAAGAATTACAGAAGTTACAAAAGTTTTTAAAAGGAGAGAAAAATATTGTTTCAAGAAGTCAGACTGCAGTCGAATCAGGTTCTTCAGTTTCTAATATGAGCAATGGCAAAGATAAAATATTACCTAGTTTTTGGATTCCTTCTAAAACGCCGGAAGCAAAAGAAATAATATTGCAAAAACCAGATAAAACAATCTACTGTCCTATTAGTGGAAAACCACTAAAAATAAAAGATCTTATTCCTGTGAAATTTACTGAAGTAAAAGATCCAGATGACAAAAAATCTCTTATCGTTAAACAAGCAAGATATATGTGTCCTATTACACATGACATCCTAAGCAATAGTGTTCCATGTGCAGTTATAAGGACAACGTATGGTTATTTATATACTAATATTTCTTATGATTATTTGTTCAATTTGAGTGAATGTTCGTTTTGTCTTTTTCCTAGTGGCGATGTAATTACAATGGAGTGCGTAGACAAAATTATAAAAAAGGACTGGATCAATCCCTTGGATAGTACAAAATTGACTGAAGCAGATATTATACCTCTTCAAAGGGTAATTGATGAAGATGTAATTAAAGTAGAATAAACTGCAAATTATAACATTGCTTTTTTAGGGAGGAACTGGATATGCAGCTGTTAATGATTCTTTGGAAGGTAAACATGAGAGACCGGTATTACAAGCATGAAACATGCAGTCAGTGAAACTTGATTACATATATAATTTTGAATGTACAAAAAAGTATTAAATTGACCTTATCATGATACTGATACTGATAAACAAAATGTTTTAATTGTTTATAAATAAATTTCATAACAATATAAAAATCTTTGAAATTGATGTAAAGCTTCTTCTACCTCGTTTGTGTTACATTTCACTTTGCAATTATCATTTTTATCACTTTCAATAAATCGAATTTTTCGACACAGTTTATTAAAATGATCGTGAATCTACTTATCGTTATATTTATTTACGCAAACGTATGGAACGTAAATATATTCTATAATTTCTGACATGTTACTATTTATTCGTACGAAACAACGTAGAGCATAATTACCACAAAATATTTAAGTAAGAAACTGCTAATAACTGATTAATCAAGTTTCTGTTTTTTTTTTTTCTAAATAAAATTAACATGTATTGTGACTAGTGTTTGAAACGGTTTCAAAAATAACTTTCAATTCAAAACAGTTACGAAAGTTGAAAGAATATGATGACTGTTACAGATACATCGATTTTAATTTATATCGATTTCGATTCTTCAGAACCGATTGTATATCGATTTTATAACTTATTTTTAGGTTATATGTATCTATATTTTTCGAACACGGGTTTTAATTCCTATAGAATTAGTGAAAATAATAACATGTTATATGCGGATCACGTATTAATACGTTTTATGTATTTCGTATATTTCGTGTTTTACAGTGAGGAGCAAAACTGAACACACACACGACATTTTAACAAAAATAATTTTTTATTCAATATTTGCATATAGAATACAAAAGAAACAAACTAGTTAGTATTATCTAGAATCTTTTGGCTTTTCTTTCTTATACCACATCATGTGAAGCAAACAATGAAATTTCATGGTGTGTCACTTATAATGTGGGGGTATATTACTGCGTATAACTAGTATTCATATAAGAATATTTTAGAAAAAAATTTACTAGAAACAATTGAAAATATGCTAATATCAGAGTTGATGTTATATTCCAACATTACAATGCTCCTAGGCATTCTGTGAACAGTGTGAAGAATTGGCTGCAAAGTCAACTATTTCAAACCATGGAATGGCCTGCGCAAATGCTAGGCATAAACCCGATTGAAGATGAAGTTATAAAATAAATATAATGCTCCCCCAATAACGATAACTGATTTGTGGCATAGAGTGCAAGAACAATGTGGTATTCTATGACACCAGAGTATTACGAAAATGTAATATTAAGTATGTCTAAACGTGTTGAAGCAATTATCAAGGTTAAAGGTTTATGAAAAATTATTTTTGTTAAAATGTCGTTTGTGTGTTCAGTTTTGCTTCTTATTGTATCTCAAATGTCAAGAGTTTAACAGCCGTAACAAAAATCTTAATTTTCATTGCAGTGTATCTATTGTATAGAACCGAACCTTAATCGAAACAAACCAAAACTGAAATAAGTCAAAACCGATACATTCATAACAATTACAACATATTTTCGGTTCTCAACTCCTGATTACACCATGGTATTATGTTTAGACAATTGATAAATTATATGTTACCTTACTAAACAAATTTGTGGAAATGTAAAACTTTAATCGTTAACATAGCGAAAGTCGAGTAGAAATAATACAATTCTATATATTCAGATTAACAATCGTTATAATGGTCTCAAACGTTCTTTCGCGCGTCTTTCAACAAAGGCGAGATAGGCCAATCCCAGAATGCCTTTCGCCGCGAAATATCGATTGGCGATCCAATCCCGACTGGGATTTCCGTCCGAAGGTGTCGCCATCTTAAGGTGTACAGTTTTTTAAAGCGTTCCAAAATTCTGGAGCTCTGCCGGCCAAGCGGCAATCTGCGAGGCTGCGTTAGTGTTCGCTGTTCGCTGTACGTGTAAGTGCTTCCGCGTGTTGAAAACATTTAATTTCTTGCAACGATCTTTTTCTAACCTGTAAAAATCAAGTGTCGCCATCAGTTATGAAGTGAAGAAGTCGCGATGATCGTTCGCCAATAAATTGAAGGTGAGTGTCCCTCTGCGTAAGTGTGCCTTTTATCGGATCAACTATTGTTACATGTGCAATGCCACGACGGTAACTCTTTGTACGCTTGGTAAGTCAGCAATTTCGATACCTTTTAGCTAGTGAAATGATCACCGCGCAAGATTGTAGCAAATATCAATAGAGCGTTTGGAAATAATTCAACGAGGAAAGTAAAGGCAACTCATAAATCTTAATGCAGTCATGTTGCTTGATACGTATTTCAATATCTTGACCATTGGTTTTGCATGCAAGTTTCCGCCAACTCCGTGAACAATTTTTTTATAATACATTCGCGAGCAAAGCGTGCAAATGCATTGTTTGGTATATAATCGGAAACGAGATAATAAAACGAAAAACAAACATCAACAGATTTAATCTTTGACCGAATTGTTCTCGTTAAATTGGAACCGAATTGAAGTAAACAGAACTGCGTCGTTGGATAAAACAATTATTGATATGTTTTCAAGCATTAACCTTCGTCTATAATTCGTACTCTTCTTCAGTTTCGTTTGTGCGTTCGCGGGTTTAACGCGATGCAATCCCACTACCGGACACCGCGACATCTCATTTTTCACGAGCGTGCATTTTCAGCGAGTACTGTCAGTTTTATATTTCAAACACACGGAACGTATGTACAGTTACTTCATATGCAATATTGAATTAAAGTTGAACGCGTATGCAGGGTGTTCGGTCACCCCTGGGAAAAATTTTAATGCGAGATTCTAGAGGTCAAAATAAGACGAAAATCAAGGATACCAATTTGTTGATGGAAGCTCCGTTAAAAAGTTATTAACGTTTAAAGTTCTGCCCGTACTGAATTTTTTTCTCGAAAATGTGCAGGATTTCGGGGGTATGTCTGTTCACCGAAAATGATTGTAATTGACCCCCGCAACCGAAAATAATTTTTCCAGATTTGAAATTTTTTAATTTCGTCGAAAAATTTCACACCTCGAATTTTTTTCTAGAAAATGGGTAGGATTTCGGGCGTATGTTTATTGACCAAAAATGATTGTAATTGACCCCCGCAACTAAAAATAATTTTTTTTTATATTCGTATAAAAGAAATTGATATTCGTGATTGTCGTCTTATTTTGGCCTTTAGAATCTCTCGTTACAACTTTTCCCATGGGTGGCGCCCCTGTATAAAAAGTTTACGAATCAAAACAGAAAGGTGTTACGAACGATAATTGCAATTAATAGATTTTATGATAGACGAAGACGTGCGAATATATCGATCACATAGTTTTCGATTCTGTCGACGAACTGATTTTCAGTTATCGATTATATTTCTTTGTCACCACATTCTCGTTGTTAACTCGATTGCCAGTCGATGCAGTTGATATAATCTAGACGATTGAAATCGAGATCACAATCGCATTGCATTGTGTTCGTAGATTCGAATTATCACACACAGATAAGATAGTTGAAATTTACTAAATTTTGGTGAAATGTGTATTTGAATAGAAAACAAATATACGTTGCACGTAAATAAACTCGTAGACATATTTATTAAATATAAACTTACTAATCGAAATATATTTAAAACAAAAGGGAATGTCTATTTGCGCTTATTTTTAAAAAATTGACGCGCAAAATACTGGCTTGTTTTCGCTTTGATAAATAGCTCATAGCTAAATATTGTTTTGTGCACGATCGCAAAAATAGTGATCTAGTTTATTGATAACCGTGATGTAATTTACAGGCAATATCGTTCGCGCCATTGTTGACCCAGTACTGAATCGGCATAGTCGCTATAATATACAATAAACAATAATAATTTTGTATAAATTACACGTACGTCGATTCAGAGCAACATATGTATATGTATATGTTCATGCATTTAAGCAGCATTAATTATTTGATGCATAAGCTAAGATAAAAAGAAAATGCAAAACAATTTATCATCGATACGTTAGCGTATAATAATAATTAAAGTGGTGTAGATAACTTACCAAATGGATATACATAGTATGCATATATGTATTTTTGTACTCGTGTATAAGCGACAGTATTAGATATACAGGGTAATTCTAATAACTGGGCCAGTCTATAGTTTTGTTTTAACGATACTAAATGTCAATGTTAATAAAAATAAAAATTGTACAATGTACGAATACAGTAAGTGCGCGATAGAGGACAGTTTTGTATGGTTTAATGAGCTGTATTTTTTTTCTAAATGGTGCAATTGCACTATTCAAAAAATTATGAATTTATGTATTTAGAAGTTACCTATAAAGTTATCGAAAACTAGGTATTTTGTTTTTCCTATTAAATTTGTCGAAAAATAAAGTGTATTTGTTTAAATAAATAACTAAAAAGAAAGAATGAAGATATATTGTCAAAATTTGGGTCAACTAAACAATTTAACGACAATTACCACAAAATGTGTGAAAAGAGTCTAAAATGCAACGGTGAAACGTTCAAGTGCCTGTTGCAATATTAAAAACAAAATTAAATATCTTCTAAAGTATCGAATTTTCGATGACTCTGAGTTATACGTTTTTTTTTGCACAGAAGGATTCAATGAATCGATTTTTGTAACAAAGTCGGAATATTTAAAAAGAAAAGTCTCATTTTAAAAATTTATTTCGAAACAAAGCGAACAAAATTTTCTTCGAACGATAGATTACCAGCATTTATGAATTATTTTATTTCAAGGTTGAAATTTTTATTTTTGTTCAACGAGTAATTAAATAAACGTTTATTTATCTCTTGCTAGTTATTCGTAATTTTGATCCAAATAAGACGTACACCCGTCTCCGGGACAGAGCTATAGATTGGTCCAGTTGCTAGAATCATTCTGGACACGTGTACGTACGAAAACATACGCGAAACCTTGTTATGTCACTAAGAAGACACATTTGAACGCTGTCGCTGCTGCAACACATACACTACACGCGTATATAAGGAACCGTATCAGTACTTTACACTCACATGGTTACATACGCGTGTGTGCGTGCCATACGTAATAGAAGGTTAAGCTAGGTTGACCGACCATGATGCAGAGTGCATGCGT